AATGTATTTAAGATTTTAAAAAATACAAAATTCATATAAAACTTGTTAAATTCTAAGAAAAAAGTGACAAAATTATATTTTTAAGCAAACATTTTCCTAAAATTGAATCTAAAGGTTTCTGAACATCTTTAAGAAAACTGAATGCATTTAATTTATTGTAAACCCATCAAGATCATCATCAAATGAAATAAGTCCTTGAAATCTTCCAGCTGTGCACAATTTCGGTTTTCCAAGCTTGCGGATGACATCCTCAAGTGTCTTGAAGAGTGCTTCTTCGTCCGTTTCCAAAAATCTTAAGCCATGGGAGGTCTTCTTGTAAAACTTTCCAATATATCCCTCTTCATCAAATTCTATAACTTTAACAACATACAAGCGAAACGAATTTTTTGTCTTTCCAATCACTTTTATAAGGGCAAAGTCCCCAAGTGAAAACTTTGAAAAATCATTTTCATTCAAAGTTTTGTTTACCGATAAAAATGAATCTTCCGCTGAGAAGCTCTCCCTCCATTCTGCATCACTGTCTTGGAGTGAATAGTCAGACTCTTCAGTAGTTGATTCATCAGGATCTTTAACATGTTTTTTCCTTTTTAATGTGTTCTTTGGTCCTTTGCTCGTGTTACTAGGTCCTGCTGTACATTCATTTTTGTCAGTAGAAACCTCTGTTGGAAAGTCTGCAACTTCAACACTTTTACCTGGAAGGATGGATACTTTTTTTCTTGTTTGCCTTGCCTTCGGTTTGTCAGATTGTCTTATAGATTCCATGTATTGCTTGAAGCTGGCATCCAAGTCTTCAGCGGCAGCTTCATTGCTAACTAATCCCTTAGAACCTTTAGAGGGAGGCAGCATGCCAAAGACTTTTTCCCTATTCAGTGGAACAACGCCACATTTTTTGAAACCAGAAACAACATTCGCTTCTTTAAGTGACACAAATAGCTCCTTTAGAAGAGGTGGGAATCGATCCTTTGGCAAAGACGCTTCACTTCTTCCTGGGCCTTGTTTCCATTTTAAAAGGATGGATCTCCAAGTCTGTTTAAGGGGGTGGAAGAATGCCACGTCCAGTGGTTGTGTAAGGTGTTATGTTCTTGACATATTTTAATGACATCTACAGATAGGTGTGAAGCCAAGTTGTGAAGCCAAAACCTAACAAGACCTTCACTCCTTTGAGTTTTGATAAATGTGGTATTGCAATGGTCTTGACCCAGTTTTGAAAGCAATACGAATCAAACCACCCTGACTTCATTCTGTTGAATCTCAAGTTTGGTGGTCCCCCAACTCTCCAGCTGTCATACATGTGCTGAGCTTTGTATACTATATAAGGCGATAAAATGGTTCCGTCACCAGCAGCGGCAAACATAACCGACACTGAAGCCTTTGTAGAGTTCATAACTCTTTCGGGATACTTACAGCCCCGTCGAGCTATAACCACTTTCCGTTTAATATTTTGACACATGCGAGCCGATAGTTCCTTCTTGTGTCGTTCCAGGAAGCTGTGTACAAAATCAGGCCCAGGCATACAGGCTTGGTCGGGAAGCGGGAGCGATCGCTCTCGATTGCTGACCACGGAAATAATATTTAGTTGCGAAAAGCTGGCCAGATTTTTTAGTTGTTTTGAGAACATTTAAAAAAAAAAAAAAAAAGATGCGAAGATTAATTGGACCGATGAGACAATTACAAAAAAAAAAAAAAATTAGGAAAATAAAATATCTTTTAACGCAAAAAAACTTAAAGGAAAATAAATTACGTTTAGAACAAATATTTTCGAAACATCGCTCTTTTATAATTTTTTTATAAAATTAAGCGACTTTTTTTATATTAAGTAACATCTTACGTTTACTTTAAAATGTTCTTTATTTATCAAAGTTTGCAAGTTTTAGTTTTATCTGAGCTAAATTATTTTATAAATAAAAAAGTTAATTTGTTTAATGCCTATTCTATGTTTCGCGTAGTTTGAAAAGTTTAACATATTTGAAACAATTCTTCTTAGTAAGAAAAAAAAATGAAATAATTAAATCATTGAATTACTAAAGAAATTAAATTTACTAGATAGAAATCAACTAAAAAATTTAAAAATACTTTCATGACGAGGAAGCGAAACTGCTTCATAATATCGCTAATGATGTTTAGTGAGTAGGCTTTTTAATTTTAATTAGTATATAAAGCAGGAAAAAGTATAACGAGTTTTTAAGAATGGCAACTTAATTGAAAATAATTTGATTTAGTGAACCAATATCTAAAAACTTATATCTATTTATTTACCAATATCTAGAAAATAATAGTTTATAAGATTTACGGCAGATGTGGCTCCAAGAATGAGCAATAGAATTAATAATATATTCTTATAACAATCTATGCTAGAAATCTCAAAACGTAACAAATCATGAATAAAACAATTTCTACAACATTTCAACATAATACTCTAGAACTTTATTTGGCTTAGTCAGTGTATTTTTTAACCAATAGAATCAGTTTGTTCGTTAATTTGGCGGATTTTTAGAGTTTGCGAATATTCTTTTCATTCTTCCGCACCAAGATGTTTTGAGAACATTTAAGTTTTTTATGTTTCCATGTTTGTCCGTAAAACCAAAATTTGTTGTTTCGAACGAAAAACTAAATGTTCTCAAAACAACTAAAAAACCTGGCCAGTTTTTCGCAACTAAATATAATTTCCGTGGTCAGTATTCTAGAGCGATCGCTCCCGCTTCCTGACCAAGTCTGGGCATATTATCCTTGAATTTTGGGATAGTTTTGCCCTGCATTTCAATATAATCCTTAATTAGCAGTCTCAAAGTAATTGAGTCAATTGGATATCCCCAATCACTACAGATCTGAAGTCTACTAACTAAGAGGTTTTCATCATATTCCGACAAAGCGGTTTGGCCACCTTTTTTCTTAGTTTCACCTCTTTTCGTATGTCTGTAAAGTACAGTATGATCTATTTCATATTTTTCTGCAACTTTTCTAAAACTACCACCAATTTGTACTTCATTAAGAGGTTTTTTATTCACTTCAGGGTCATACTGCCTGCATTTTTAAATACTCACATACTTTCGAGGCATCCTCTTTCAGTTAGGCCACAAATCATACCTGAAACAAAAAACAGCTCTTATAGTAATCAAATAAATATATTTATATAATCTGTGATCAAGTTAAATACTTACAGTCAGTATTTATGTTAAAAATAACAGAAAAAAAACAATCAGCTGTTGTTTATGAGAACTAAGGAGTGAATAGCAACAGAAAAAAGTGTGTTGCTATTCACCCCAGGTTTTGTTAAAACCATGCCTAACCTAAAAAAATTATTTTGTATAAATAAGTTATTATTATTTAGCTTAAAGTCATTTAAGTTTTGTTTGTAAGATACATAAAGTCACCTTTAAAACAATATGATAAGTTAATCGAAATAACAGTGTCATACTTACAGTCAGAGCTTTTGACGAACAAATTTTCTCAAAGATTTTCAGCGGCAAATCAATCCACAACAACCTCAAACAGGGATGCCAACATAATAAAATATAATTTCTCTAACAAAACAGGTAATTACCCATATTTCAGAATGAAAATTCCCTTTGCATTTAAAAGGGATCATAAGTAGCAAATTTTCAAAATATTTATGAAGTTTTGTTGCAATTCACCCTTACTGTTGCTATACACCCCATTTTACGGTACTGCTGCATTTGAAACAGAAACTTTTTTTCCTATTTTCATTCAAAAAGCAAGAGAAAAATAACAAATAATAAATAATTTTTGGGCGCCTTTTTTGGTTAACCATGTTGCTTTAGTGGTACCATGTAGGTCTGGGTTCGTACCTGGAAATGATACGGTAGCTCCTGTTGCACTTATGCATTTCTTTTAAGTGAATGCAACATTGAACAAACCTCAGTAGTATAAATAGTTGTTCATGCTAGAAATTACACATATGATTCACTTTGTTAAATCTAAAAACATACCTATTTCTATAGAAAAGGTAAAAAAAAGTTGTTTTAAATGCCATATTTATTCAAATTTAAAGCCAAAAATTTATTAATCTGCAACAACCAGTGAGTTAGTCAAATTGATTAATCCAATGGATTGCTTTTTATAGAACTGTCTAGTTTTAATAATTTTTTCACCTTTAAAACACTGTATTTGGTTACATAATGTACAACATTACAATATTTGATTAATTTTAAATAATTAATCCATATACCTATTCTATCCATATCATATCATTTTCAGTATAGTATGTTTGTTTTTATTGTTTACAAATATTATTATATATAATATTTGTTTCAATAGAGTTAATTGATTTTTTATAAAAAATATTTCTTACTAAATGCTGAATGTTTTTTCTCAATCAGCATTTGTAAAACTATCTAAGATTTTTTTTTTACTTTTTATGTCGTTAAAATTGATTTTTATATTTACCATCTAATGCAAGCTTTAACTTTTGTTTCTTTTCATAAATAGTTTTTCGCTGATCTTCTAATGACTTTCTATACAAATATTCTTTCCGTAATCTTACTTCTCTACGTAGCTGAAAAAATATTTTTTATCATAAAACATTCTTTTTTAAATGATATAAAACTGCTATGTGTGTTTATACTTTTACAATTTTTTCATGGACAAGTTTATTTTTTTAAAGTTTCTATCATAACGTTTAAACATCAATTTGATTACTGCCACATTTTTTCAAAATTTATAAACCAATTATAAACATGAAATAAACAAGTTTAAAAAACACATAATTTGTTTATTTCATTATGAAAATCTTACCATTTTGAGGTCTTTGTAAACTTTCTGAGTTATTTGAGTACACGGATACTATATTATACTATAACAAATACTATATTATACTATAATATAGATACTATATTATACTATAATAAATTTACTAAATTGTTACAAATTCTACATATATAGTATATAATACAACTTGTTTATTTAAAAATAAAAAAAATTTTTAAAATCACAAATAACTTTTATAAATGTAAAAGTATACATGCTTATTTACCGATGCAAAAATGTTTACTTCAGAGTACATTATAAATCGGCGTCACAGAAATTTTTGACGCCTGAAAATTTTGCCGCCGCGGCAAGTTTACCAAGTCCATAAATTACGTAACGTAATTTTTGACAGTTTTTGACCCTCTCCCACTCTTCCCCCAGCCATAACTTTGTAACTCTTTAGTAACAACTCTCGTATGAGTCGTCAAAAAACACAAACTCTCTCCCCCCTCAAAAAGCGCAACGTAATAAATGGATGACCCCTTAGCTGCATTTTTTCCAAGGAAAAATTGCCTCTCGCAAGAAATTTTGCTGATTTTATTTTTGAATTTTAATAATTCTAAAAAGAAAAAATACAACTATTTTTTTGATTTAATTTTCTAGGGGGTATATTCACTTGTTTAAGTAATATACCTTCGAGGCATGAATAAATTAAGCAAATATGGATGAAGAAGAAATTCCAAAAGATGTTTGGTAAAGACAGCCTGCTTTTTAATTAGAATAAAAAAAAAAAAAATCGATCCAAGAATCGCTTCTAACGAAGCAATTCTTGGAGGTGGCACTTTGGTCGAGTTAAAACATTTGCAAACGTTTTACTCTCAAAGAGGTATTACTAGAAAGAAATGGTAAATGATATCACTTTTTTAGTTTATTTACTTTGCTAGCTAATTAGCAAATTATTATGGTTGTTGATATTACGGCAAGAGTAAAATTACAAATAGCATTGTAATTTTGTTCTAATATCCAGACTTTGTTTCAATAAATGATAGTTTTTAATAATTTTGGAAACTGTTAAAACATATAAATTTAGATTCGGGCCTAAAATTGAACAATTTAAATAAATCGCGAACATTTTATGAGGAAACGGAAAACATTTTTAATATAATTTGCTTAAACAGAAACTTGGATTTCTTTAAATGAATTTCAAAATAGTTCTATTTTCTATCTTTTTGGTTTCGAAACAATTTTGTTAGCGACAAATGAATAAAAAAAGGTGGAGGAATACAAATGAAAGCATTTTACATAACGTTAGAAATGATATGTGCGTATATGTGTATAATACGTCATCAACATTACCCAGTGTGTGTAATATTGCTTGCATATTATATGTTATCAATATTACCCAGCTAGCACACTTACGTTAGGCCAACGAGGATCAGAGTTTGTTTGCATTGACAAAAGGCAGATTTACAAATGAGTTTTTGTATAATTTGTAGGAATTTTTTCCTAGAATTTTTGGTGGGGAAGGGGGATAAATACCTTCCTGTATCCGTCACTGATGCCAACGTAAAATACAAGATTGAATCAACGTAAAATATTATGCAATGTTGACTTAAAATAAAACGTTGAGCCAACGTTTTTTGTGGGTATTTTATTTTTTGGGTATTGGCTATGTTGCTTTTGTAACCAAAATGGTATATAACGGGTAACCTCCTTTAAGGAATAAGATTTTAAAAATAGGAAAACTGTTTTAGAAGGTATTTTTGTTCTAGTTTTTAAATATTATATGTGTTTTTATTTTTTTTATAGAAAAATGAATAAAAAAATAAATTCAAAACAAGAAGAGGTTAGAAAACGTGTGTATGAATTTTATTTCAATTACAAAAATGCTGGTAAAAAATTCACTTATGACCACTTTAAAGTTGAGAATATAGCTAAAAGTACTATCTGCATGATAATTAAACGTGCTGAAAGTGAATCTGGGTACCAAAGAATTCAAGGAAGTGGAGTAAAAGCTAAAAAAATGACCAGGACAAACATTGAAAGGCGCAAAACCATAAAGATGGAGTTTCTCAACGACACGCAGCTAAAAAGTTCAACTGTGCTCAGCAACACATTAGTAAAACATTAAAAAAAAGAACACATATTAAATTAAGAAAAAAAATGACGATTCCAAAACGCTATGACCAGAAAAAAGCAGTAGCTAGAACTAAGTGCAGTCGATTGTGTCAGAAATTCAAAAATCGTAAACCAATCATTGACGATAAGTCTTATTTCACGTTAAATCACTCCAGTATCAATGGAAATGATATATTTTATACTAGTGATGTAAAATCTACTCCATTTACAGTTAAATATCAAACAAAACAAAATTTTCAAAATAAATTACTTCTATGGATTGCTTTTTCTGAAAATGGAATTTCTCAACCTTATCTTGTACCAAGTGGACTGGCTGTAAACCAAAAAATCTATTTAAACAAATGTATTAATAAGAGACTTATTCCATTCATCAATAGGTATCATTCAGATGGTGCATATGTATTCTGGCCAGGTTTAGCATTATCTCACTATGCAAAAACAGTAATTATGTACCTAAACAAGGAAAATGTGCATTATGTTAAGAAAGCGGATAACCCTGCAAACTTGCCAGAATGTCGCCCTATCGAAATAATTTGGAGTATTTTGAAAGACCTTTTCTACAAGAATAATTGGTATGCAGAAAATCTTAAGAAATTACTTTCTAGAATCAAATGGTGCCTTAATAAAATTGATATTGAGATCATACGGAGACTAGCTCAGTCTATACCAGGCCTAGTTGATAAAGTCAGAAGAAATGGTTTAATTGAGAACAACTGTTATATATTTAAAAACTAGAATAAAAATTATTTTTAGAACATTTTTCCTTTTTGTTTTATCTTATTTCTTTAAAAAGATGTGTCTTTAAATCCAGTCTCGTTTTTTAGTTGTCACCCGTTAAACAACGTTAGCGGTCGATGTTGGGTCAAAGCAACGCGCAACATTGTTCTAACGTTTTATAAACGTATGTGTGCTAGCTGGGTAATAATTTACAGTAGGGGAGAGTATGCATCTAAAAATCTATCAGGTCAATTTACTCAATATATTTTTTCATTTCGATCTCTAAAATAACTTTACACGATAGCAAACTTATATTTAACTTATATATTTTAATTTAATGATCATTGTATTACCAGAATATCTATAGTAGAATTTAAATTATAAAAACTAAAAACACTTGGGATCAAGGGTGAATACCAGTATCACCCTTGATCCTATGCATATACCTAGAAAGCACAGTTACGTTGGGCCAACATTGAAACAACATCGGGAAATTGATCGGACGACCATTGCAAACGGACGTCAGCAAAACGTTAACTTGAAATTTGGGGCGACATCGAGCACAACCATCGTTTAAACGTTAAGACGTATTCCCAAACATCGGATAAATGTTGTTTTAATGTTGGTACGACGTTTTAAATATTGCTTGCCTAACTTCATCTTACTGTTGTTCCAACATCGTTTAAACGTTGACATAGTGAATATTGCAAATGTTAAATAAATAAGAACACTTATCTACCTTTTTTATTCTACAGCTTGCTTCTCCTTCAAAAGGTTCATCAGGAAGGCTTACTGATGAACCTATTGAAAGAGAACACGCTGTTGAAGAAAAAAGATAGATAAGTGTTTTTACTAATATATATATATACATATATATATATATATATATATATATATATATATATATATATATATATATATATATGTGTGTGTGTGTGTGTGTGTATATATATATATATACATATATATATATATATATGTGTGTGTGTATATATATATATATATATATATATATATATATATATATATATATATATATATATATATATATAATTTATATATATATATATATATAATTTATATATATATATATATATATATATATATATATAGAAAATTTAAGTGATATCTTCAATTGTATGTGTAATAATATTATAAGCATTAAAACATCATATACGGTATCATACTGTTTATTTCTTTTTTAAGCAATATTTCGGCTCATATAGTAAGAGCCATTATCGAACTAATAAAACTGTTATAAAAACCATTGAAAAAATTATAATGAACGTAACCAAATGATGTCATTGCAAGGTCAGATATTAAACATTTAATGATATTAAACAGATCCGTCACGATCTGAAGCATATCTTAAACACAACTTTATGATATGCTCAATCTCACCATAGGTTGTTCACATAGACTTGTACAAATAAACAGCAATTAAAAAAAAGAAACATAAGAACAATTTACCCTCCAGAACAAAAAAATTTATAAAAATGATTTATAAAAATTGATTTATAAAAATGAATCACAGATTTATCTAAATAAGTAAATCTAATTTTCACCTTTGATACAAAAAACAACCTTAGGGTCTTTGACGCCCATCTTTTCTGCCACGTTTAGCCTAGTTTAGTTTTTATAACGTTCATTAGTGAAGAATTTTAATGAAATTTGATATGTCATATTCAACACCTCCATGCCTCAAGTCACTTCTAAGTAGTTACCTTTCAAAATCAAGATTAAAACAATTATGGCGTTGTTAGCCAAGATGCTTCTATGTTATATATGAATATATATATATATATATATATATATATATATATATATATATATATATATATATATATATATATATATATATATATATATATGTGTGTGTGTATGTATATATATATGTATATACATATATAAATATATATATATATTAACCATTAGTACTTAAATTATTAACCAATACTTACGTTTTGATAGTATTAAACAAGAAAAACCTAATATTAAAATAATAACTGAACTCACTCCAACAACACTTTTCATTAATTGATTTTGAATTTTGAAAAAATAAAATAGACAACGAAAATCATATTATTTTGATCCTAATACAAATGCTAACAATTACTTTCTAGGTCAGGGTTAGGGTTAGGGTTTGGGTTAGGGTCAGGGTTAGGGTTAGGGTTCTAGGTCTGCGTTTTATCAGGAATTTAAGGTCTTATTTTAGAATCATCTTAAGTAACGCTAAATGTTTACTTTATTAATGTATGTGTAGCTGGAGTTTCAGCTGCCGTGTGTTCTTTATCTATTAAAGGATCTCTTAAAAATGATAGGCCCAATAAAAATGATATAGTTAT